TCGAACAAAGAAAAGAAGAAAGTTCAAAAACGAACAAATGCAAGCGAAGATGGAGATAAATATTGTACGTAGAGGTTTCGACATGTAATGTCATGTGGTTCGTTAAGTGAGTATTAGTACCTGGAACCAAATTGATATTGCGGTATATACGGTTGATACATATGTCCATTTGTATATTGTGGAGGAGGCTCGAGATTGAGGCTTTCTTGTACTGCTTTGGCAAGAAGTTCGTCTTCATCCGATTGATAATCACGATCTATCAAATGTTTCAAGAACTTATTATAAGTTCGTACTTAAAACAAATAATTCGGGAATACAAACAAAATATATACATTTAAACGTATGAATACTTCAGATCTTGATGTCCTTGGACAGCAATTATAACAACTCAAGCCCACCGCTAGCATATATTGTCCTCTTTAGGCTTTCCCTCAATGTTTTTAAAAGGCGTATGCTAGGGAGAAGTTTTCACACCCTTTTATAAGGAATGTTTTGTTCCCCTCTCCAACCGATGTGGGATCTCACAATCCACCCCCCATTTGGGGCCCAACGTCCTCGTTGGCACAGTACTGAGTGTCTAGCTTTGATACCATTTGTAACAGTTCAAGCCCACCACTAGTAGATAATGTTCTCTTTAGACTTTTCCTTTCAGGCTTCTCCTCAAGGTTTTTAAAACATGTCTTCTAGGGAGAGATTTCCACACCCTTATAAGGAATGCTTCGTTTCCCCCTATAAATGTGGGATCTCACAATCCACCCCCCTTGGAAACCCAGTGTCCTCGTTGGCACACTGCCCGATGTCTGACTTTGATACCATTTGTAATAGCCCAAACCCACCGCTAATAGATATTGTCTTCTTTAGGCTTTTCCTTTCGGGCTTCACCTCAAGGGTTTTAAAACGTGTCTGCTAGAAAGAGGTTTCCACCCCCTTATAAGGAATGTTTTGTTCCCCTCTCCAACCAATGTGGGATCTCACAATCCACCCCTTGGGGGCCCAACGTTCTCGCTAGCACACTGCTCGATGTCGAGCTCTGATATCATTTGTAACAGCCCAAGCCCACCGCTAACAAATATTGTCTGCTTTGGCCAGCCACGTATCGCCATCAGCCTCACGGTCTTAAAATGCATCTGCTATGGGTGAGGTTTCCACACCCTTATCAGAAATGTTCCTCTCTCCAACCGATGTGGGACCTCACTACATTTATCACAGACCCCCATGTACCACGTCTTGAATTCTCCGGTCCATTAGGCGTATCAAAAAACAAACTTCACACAAGTAAATTTCAGAAATAGTTTACACTCATCTCAATGAAACAGATTTAACCGTGTCGTCTCCATTGGAAAGCTCAAAAACAAAAGATTTGGGATGAATCTAGGAAGAGGAACATGAACAATGATATCTTTTAAAAGCATATGATGGCAGTAGGACAGCCACTACACTCACCAATAACATTATTTGCCTTCGGACTATCTTCCACAAGAGAAATCGCTATCGCATGATCGATGTCGTCATTCTCGTTCTCTGACCATAAACCCTGTTTTCGAGTTCCCATCACAGTACGTGAAATGGTGAAAGTATAAGCTAAAAAACGATAAGGTTTTACATATAACTGGTTAAACAATCACGAAACTAAAAAAGATGATGATGGTAAGCGTGTTCGTTCACCTCCGAAGTCGAGGGCAGATGAGAATTCTGATCCTCCTCATAGTTCGATTCGTAATTCATTTCAGCTATTTTATGGCCAGATCCAACTTTTAAAATCTTGCTTAGCCAACCCATGGTTCTAGTCTTATCTGTCCATGATCAATGAAAAAATTTACCTGGGAAACCAATAAAATGATGAAAGGAACATAAATACACTCATAGTTCACTTAATGCATCCCATCCCTCTTGTCTTAAAGGAGGAAACAAAATACACAAACATTAAACAACATAACGAAATATTAGCCCACAAACAAACAAACAGTATGTAGCAGCCCACGCCCACTGCTAGCAGATATTGTCCTCTTTGAGTTTTCCCTTTCGGGCTTCCCCTCAAGGTTTTTTAAAACGCGTCTACAAGGGGGAGGTTTCCACACCCTTATAAGGATTGTTTTGTTCCCCTCTCCAACGGATGTGGGATCTCACAATCCACCCCCTTGGGTCCTAGTGTCCTCGCTGGCACCCTGGCTCTAATACCATTTGTAACCGCTCAAACCCACCACTAGCAGATATTGTCCTCATTGAGCTTTTCCTTTCGGGCTTCCCCTCAAGATTTTTAAAACGTGTAGCAGATATTGTCCTCTTTAGGCTTTCCCTCAAAGTTTTTAAAACATGTTTGCTAGGGAGAGGTTTTCACACCCTTATAAGGAATGCTTCGTTCCCCTCTCCAACTGATGTGGGATCTCACAATCCACCCCCTTGGGGGTCAGCGTCCTCGCTGGCACACTGCCCGTGTTGTCTCTAATATCATTTTCAACCGCTCAAACCCACCACTAGTAGATATTGTCCTCTTTGAGCTTTTCCTTTCGGGCTTCCCCTCAAGGTTTTTAAAATGTGTCTACTAGGGGTAGGTTTCCACACCCTTATAAAGAATGCTTTGTTCTCCTCCCTAACCGTTGTGGAATCTCACATAGTATCCTTCAGTCATCTAACAATTACAACCATTTAAGCCAATACCAAATTCAAACAAGATCTATAAAGCCATTAATTCTTTTCCCCCCAACATATTTCTCCAGTCAAGAAAAGTTAAAAGACAATACAACATCCTTAAAAAAACATCTGCAGATAGAGAGAGACAGAGATTCATCCAGCTCAAATATGTCTCAAATTCAAGTTTCCAACCAACAGTTTCAGATGAACGCAATACAAAGAGAACAAATAGTGGGTTCAGCAACACTCATAGTTCACTTAATGCATCCAATCCAACAAAATACACAAAGATTCAGTTCTTTCTAAAGCTTAAACAACCTAACGAAGATTAGCGCACAAACAAACAAACAATATGTAACTGCTCAAGCCTACCGCTAGCATATATTGCCTCTTTAGACTTTCTCTTTCTGGCTTCCCTCAAGGTTTTTAAAACGCGTCTACAAGGGGAGGTTTACACACCCTTATAAAGAATGTTTCGTTATCCTCCCCAACCGTTATGGGATCTCACAGAGTATCTAACAATTACAACCATTTAAGCCAGTACCAAATTCAAACAAGATCAAGATACAGCCATTAATTCCTTTTCCCCCAACATAATTCTAGACAAAACAACATCCTTAAAAAAAACATCTGCAGAGAGAGAGAGACAGAGATTCATCCAGCTCAAATATGTCTCAAATTCAAGTTCCCAACCAAAAGTTTCAGATGAACACAATAGGAAGAGAACAAACTAGTGGGTTCAGCAACTCACCTCCAGAAATCAAATAAGAACCTGCAGAAATGGTGGAATCAGCAGAGACCCAGATAAGAAAAAGCTCCCAATTCGCTAGAACAAACCCAGAATTCCGCCGTAATCAAAGAACCCAATATTTCATTTGTTCTCACCCCTCTCTCTCTCTCTCTCTCCTCTGTTCTTGCAAGCGAATAATCTATTCAGGAATTAGACCAAAAGGGGCGGAAAAGAGAGCAATATAATTGTTTAACTCCAACAATAAAGCAGCCAAGAGCATAAAAATAATAGGAAATAGCTATAAAGCAAAGTTGAAGATCATTCTCACATTCATCCATCAGCCAAACATTTGAATCGGCGAGTCAGACCCACAAAGATCGATTCAATCCAAACCCAGTTGGGCAAACAACTGGGAGCCGCTAAATCTCTACGCGACGACAATAAACCCTGAAAGGGTTCTAAGAGAAGAAAGCGTAAAGGGAGAAAAAGGCATCAAAAAATTGAAAGAAAAAGAGAGAAAATAATGGGGAAATTGCAAATGTATGATGATTACTTGAAGAAAAAGGGGCGAAATAGAGAGGAAATGGAAGAAGATGTAAAGGGAAAGTGAGAAAGTTCGCTAATGAACTGAAAAGATGGATTGATTTGGATTTCTTCGATGAATCAATGGAATGAAAATGTGTGATAACGATTTTAAGAAAGATGTTAAAAGGGGAAATGGAGGGAGGGAGGGAGGGAGGGAGGGAAGGGTAAAAGGTTGAAAAGATTCTTAAGAAAATGGTGCGGTTGATAAAAGATTCCATGAACACTGCCTTACAAATTCGATAAAGTTTTGTTTCAATTTGAGAGGGGTATTATTAATTAATCATTTAGAAAGTAAAACTAAATTATTTACCCAGAAAATGGCTTAAATTTGTAATGAAAAATCATGGATTTGGATGATTATTGTCCAGTTCTTTGACTTTTGTTCTTGAGCTTGGCAGACAGGTGTTGTGTTGGACTGTTTCAAGCTCTCCCATCTCTATATCTAAATGGAAAAACTTTAATTTAAAACAACAATTTGGCGCAGAAATTCAGCCGTCAATTTTAATAAATTTTCTGTATATTTTATTTTTTTAGAAAAGGTGATGTCACAATCGCACTTTTCTTGAATAAAGGTTCTTCACTACAATCGCACTTTTCTTAGTAAATAGGTAAGGCATATAAGTAAAGGTTGCACTTTTTTCTTAGACAGGTAAGGGTACATGTAAAGGTTTTGACATACGGGTAAAGGTTTTGGCATGCAATGAGCAACATACCGGTAAAGGTTGCACTTTTCTCGGATAGGTAAGGGTTTTGGCATGCAACGGTCATTCAGCCCTAACACTTTTCTTGGCACATAGATAAGGGTTTTGGCATGCAATGAGAGCATATAGCCATAAGACCTTAAACAAGCATGACCATAACATTTCACCATTCAATATCAATACTGACTTGAAGTAAAAATTACTTAAAATGTTGACTTATTGGCTCTACGAGACTAAACCGAAAATTTGTCCTCTTTTGTTAGTTTCCTTTTAATTAGAGCTACTAAATTGATATTTTTCATTGAGTTGTTCAAATGCTGTATAAAAACGTACAAGAAAGAGTACACCAGAAAATCCCAAATTCTAAACGCTTCATAAATATAAGCCTTCATATTGTCTTTGAGACATGAACACAAGGCATAGTACCTTCAACAACTTAGTCTTGTCTAACATTCTATGTAGCAACTACGAAAAAATGGTTTTTAGATTGAACTTTTTTGTCCAGAATTCAGATAAGCAGCATCATATCCAAACCGGGAGCTTCAAGGCACGAAAGGGAACGGATGAAGAGCTTCATGGACGAGAAAATGATCGGAGTTCAGGCTGAAAAACTGTTGACATCAAAGCAAACAATCTACATTGTCGTTCCAGCGCCATCGGAGAGGAGAGATGCTGCGGCGGCAGCAGCTGTAGGAACAACACCTGTGGATATTCCAGGTTTTGACAAATGCAGCAGCCTGTAAAAGTAAAGATGAAAGCTTGATTTTATCACAGTCAAGAAAGTACAAACAATAGCTTATAAGCGACACACAAACTTGGGATTTAATCTTTACTTTGAGCAAACAGAAATATTGTGCATTATGATTTTTCTAACCCCAAACCTATAGTTATAAGTTTCTTTGGAGGAGAAACAAGTGAATGAACATAATCAAGCATCCAGTAAAAAAGGGCCCTTGTCAATGCAAAACAATTCAACCAACAGGTAGATTACGATCGATACTTGTGAAATTCTTTCGTAATTTTGTGGCAGGCATTCGAATTTGGTAAGGTCTCAAGCCCATATCAGCAATTCACAGCATCAGTGTGAGATAGGCTATTGAATATGCATAAACCGAACAGTTCAATTACACGACAACTTCAATCCTAAAAGTACTAGAAGTACTTACGGTGCAAGATATTCACAGAACGTTGACACTGCACTGGCTACTTCGGAGTAGTTTTCAGAAGTTGCTGGGGCTGTCACTTCAACTAGCTGTATACCAGGTGTTACAGGTACAGCCTCATCGGTCGAATGAAGCTTCAACATCTTATTAACTGAAGAAACCGTCACTGTTATATGAGTGCCCCGGTGGAATCGGAAAGAAAACCCAACTCTCAGCAGCTCATGGTCTAACTTATAGCCAAGCGCATAGAATAAACGAAGCACGTTCTTGCTAACTTTGCTTTCTACCATTGTCCTAACCAGAACAGAGAGTTGTTCAGCACCTGAACCTCTCATTGCCCCTCCAATATGTTTAACAGTCCTAATTTATCAGGAAAAAGTTGCCATTCATTCAGTTATCTCCAAAGTAAACAACACCCTATTAAAGCAAGAGATCGAATTATACCACGACGGTTCCGTCTGCTCGAGGTCACACATGATTCGAACCTCCGAAGCCACAGCACCTAACATTATGCCAAAAGATTATGAAATTAGACAGTGATATAAAAGGGAAGCACAATCTCCAATCTCCAATTTACTTGGAGAAATGCCACTAGTATCAATCACTGTTTTGCAATCAGAAGAACTATCAAAATACCATCACATGCAGAGAAGTCAAATATGTAATAATAGGCTGAAGAAACACACATGGATACCTAAGTTGGGTCCACTTTTTAGGCATATTTCATGGAGCCTTAATCGTTCTCTGGGAACGCCGCAAATTCCTTGAAGAAGAATCTCAAGCGCCTCAACGTGCTGCAGAATCAAAATGTCAGGAGAAGTCCAAAGCACAAAAACTTGTCGCTACTAGCAAGAAAGGAATAACCTAGAGAAAAAGTAAGCTCAATTGAAAATGGTGGAAAACAACAGATTATAGTAATCGAAGAAACAGCCGCACGCCAGGAAAGCTTTAAATCATAATTCAGAGACTAACACCAGCGGTGATCATAACCCCAGTCAAAATCGATATTCAAAAGCTTATGGAGACGACGAAAAAGAGGATCGAATACATTTCTTGAGTGGATAAACAGACATGAAAATAAAGAACTATAAGAGAATTAATTAGAAACGGAAACGGAATTAGATCGTGAAGGAAGTGAAAAACGATTCGAGACCAAAAGGAAGAAAGACTTGCCTGCGTCTCGATTATGCCCTGAACCACACACTCCATCGCAATCTATGCAGCTGCTTCAAATGTTCGGTATCTCAATTCGTCTTCAACCAAACCTTCAAATTCAAATCTGCAGACTAAACCAGAAATTTCAACCCCATAATTATGGTGGGTTTCATCAAATCTCTCCGGTTCCGATCTCGAAGTCGGAGCAATTTCACGCCTTCAACTGTTCGTTAAGGGTTCGGCCCATGATAAAGGGCCCAAAAGTTGGTCTTGGGCTTTAATCCAATTCATTGCTCGGCCCATAATAAAGGGCCCAAAAGTAGGTCATGGGCTTTGGTCCAATCCATTGCTCGACCCAATTTCTAAATAATATTTCTTTTAAAAACCCAATATGATGGATTATTATGTAATTATTATGTCTAATTACGATTATATACACATAATAAAAATTATCTATAATATTACTTTTATCGCGTTTATAATTATCGTTATTAATATCATAAATTATTTTCTTAAGTATATATATTTTAGTGAAATTTACAACATGATTATACAAACAATTAATTTTAATTTAATGACGCAAAATATTAATATTGTGTTTTTTTTAAAATAAAAAAAAGAGTAATGTAAGAAAAATAAATAAATAAATATTAATTAGTAATAATAAAAGAATTGGTAATCTTCGTCTTCACAAAAATTATACATATAATGTGGAAGCAAGCGAACGAAGAACGAAGCGCCGCCACTGGTGGCCGTTTACTTGTAACCGTCGCGGCTGCCGCCGCCTATGTTGAGTCTGGAGAGGAAGAAGATGGAGGCGGAGAAAATCAGAATGGCGGCGGCGAAACAGGCGAGATCGGCGGCGGAGCTCAAAGGTATACTCTTCAACTTCTCCAACACACCCACTTGTAGTATCATCATCACCGCGTGTCCGATCTTCGACTTCGCCTCCGACACCGATTCCATTTCCACCCATGTCGGAATGTTCTGAAAAAAAACACAATCAAAGCCAGAATCATAAACCATGCTTAATTTAGAACAAATCCGTGCCTGTTTTTCTTTTTGTTTTTCTTTTTGTCTTTCGTTGTTGGAGGATGAAAGTCCATTTAGTAAATTGATCCTAGATTTATAATAAAAAAAATATTTTCTCCGTTCGAGTCATTTTGGGGAAGTTCAAAGGAAGGAGCTTATACTCAAAGTGGATAATATCATACCATTGTGGAGAGTCGTGTTCATCTAATATGGTATCAGAGTCATGCCCGAAACTTAATTATGCCAATAGATTGGTAAAAAAAAAAAAAAAGACTCCAAAAGAAAATGAGTCGAACCTCCTCGAAAGCATATTAAAAAATGACAAGACTCCAAAGGAGTTGCGTCTCGATTAAGAGGAGGCTTATGATCATAGATTTATAATCAAATAATACTCTCTCTATTGGTTTGAGGCCTTTTGAAGAAAGTAAAGCCAGTGAGAACTTATGTTCAAAGAGAACTTATGTTCAAAGAGGATAATATTATACCATTTTGGAGAATCATGTTTATCTAACCATTTTGTTTTTGTACCTTCATGTAGAACAGACCAAACAAGTTCGACCCAGAGACCCACCGCCGGTTCTTTTCCGTCATCTTCTCCGATCCGACGAACATCGCGAACAATCCGACACCGAAAACAACCAGAGCAGTTCCAACCAAGAACATGTCTGTCGAACAGTTATGTAAACAAATAAATTCATAGAAAGTAAATAGCGTTTGAATTTATGAACAAAATTCACCTAACGATTCAATTAGAAGCTCCACCGCATGACTCTCGTCGGACCTCCGTGAAACGCTATTAAAATACTGCAGATAAGACTCTGCAACAATAAAGCTCCCCTGAAAATTTAAAAACAGAGCATTCAAAACAGAGCATTGAAACAAGATCCAAGTTTGAATGAGAAAATTAAATGAAAACTAGAAGAATTCAGCGGCGTTCACCTCAAGGAAACATAGAATCGAACCCAGTAAAGATCCGGCGACGGCGAATAATGTAAAGAATCGGCAGTTGATTATGATCTAACAAAACCACAAATTCCGATCAGAAAATCGTAATTTCCGGTAAAGCATTGAATTGGAATTTGATTAATCCAAACCTTTTCGATGAATTTCTGAATCTGTCGCCTCCGAATCTTTTTCTTCACCGCCGTATTCTTCAATTGAACGAGTAGATTCGCCAGCAAAGAACCCAAATCGAGTTCTCTAGTTTTCGTCTCCACAGTCTCTGGAGCCGCCGCCGCCGCCGCCGCAGCCGCCTTAAGGTTGACTATCTGTCTTCTCTCACCGTCGCCGGAGGTTATTAACCGTTCGCCATTTTTTGAATTTAGCCCTGTTTTGACCAAGCACCTCACATTCGCCGCCGTCGATGGCGATGATGAAGAAGAAGACACCACGGTGGCAGAAGGCCGAACCGACCGGAGCAATCTTGTGGCTGCCATTGTTCTTGAATTCTAATTTATGGCCAAAACTTATGTGTTCTTTTATAGAATCTAAAGGAGAAGGAAGATTCGCAGCATATTTTGGCCGGAATTTGTCCGGACGTGAAGATTTACAGTACGATTTTCCTTTTTCTTGGAGAGGTGGGCCACGTTGGATGACGTGGCGTATTTGAAAATTCATCTTTGTGGGACCGCTTTTGTTTAGAGCCGCACACGTGGTGGTCAGAATCTCTTTCGGCGACTACCGGAAATTTCGGAGTTCTTATCCGCCGGAATAGCGAATATGCACGTGCCATGAAGGATTCTTCCACGTGTCTGAATGTATGTTATGAATTATGAAATTCAGAAAAAAGGGGCCCATTCAATGAACGGTTGGCCCAGTTCGTAGCCCAAAAAGTTGCCTTCATAACGGCCCATTTAATTAATTTTCTAAACTTATTTGTAAATATATATATATATATATATATATATATATATATATATATATATTATTTTTTTTTTTTTTTTTTTT